CATGACACTCAGGAAACACATCTGGACCACGTTACTAATCTAAAATGATTTTGTAAATATCAAAGGTATTGTGTATATCAATTATATGTAAAGTACCTGGTACATGATGAAATGCTTTTGAGTTGTTTCAACATTATCTTCATTATTAATATTACTGTTGTTATATAGAATGATTTAATGACTTTCTGTCCATGAAATAACTGTTTCCTTATTAAATGACATAATATGTAATGTGCTAATAATAGTGCCTTATGTTGAGACCCTCTGTAGGAATTACGTGTTACATTTATACTATTAACTGTCTTCATTGCAGTAATGTTGGTTATCATTTTATCCGCTTCTTTCTACAAAATAGTGAAGTATAAAATACCCTGGGAACTGATTTTCTTTTTGAAATTTCTTTGGAAAATGATTAAGTCGTACACTTACAAATTTATGTTATATGCAATGTGGAAAATAGACAAAAACAAAAAAGTATAACTTTTAAATGTAGTGAGAGCACTTTTTGTGTACTGAGGTTTTTAAAAAAACTTAAATGAGGAAACAAAAAATGGTATAAGATACATACTCAATCTCTTTTAAATGAAGCCATATCTAGATAGATAGTTTCAAAAATCCTAAGTGTATAGCAATACTTTGAAGCTTTCAAAGGATTCATTTTATCATAAAAATACTTAGTAGTGCTGGTGATTATAAAATCAAACTATTTTGTACTATATTGTTAGAGACTACAAAACCCAATGATGTAGATCAGATAGAAGTTCATCATAAGTTAAGGAAATTGGAATGAAGTTGATCATGAGCTCCCTTTATTTGGGAGCTCATGATCAACTATCCCTAGTGAGTTCATACTTTTTCCAAGTCACACCTTGATTCAGAAAGGCTGTAGAAACTATATTTCTCATGATCAATTTCAGGGAAATGGGGAAACAAAATATGGGAAAGTACCACAAACCCGAAGCTGTTTATCACCTTTTGGTGGTATTTTCTTTAGAACCTTCACATCAATTTCTGTTTGTAGTTTTTAGCTAGCATGCCTGACTTTCACATGGCTGTGTCTTGGCTGTAGCTGGCAGTGGAGGAGTTGGGAGAAATATTTTAGGAGCTCCTACTTCCATCATGAATATAAAGTGGGGTTCTGCTATAACAAGAAAGAATGGAACATGTAGGCATTATTAAGTAGGGCCATAGAAATCTCTGTCAAGTTCATTACAAATGTGATATGTGGTTGTAAAAAAAAGGGACTAAACAAAAAACAGAAGCATAGTTTAAAAAGCAAAGAAATAACTTTCTGTGCCAGACAGAATGCTATGTCTTCACAAATCTCTTTCATTGTCTTTCTGGGGGTCACAGGGAGAACACATTCCCTAGCCTCTAAGACATGCTCCATAGTTGAGTTCTGGCTAGTACACTAAAGGCAGCAGCAGTGTTTACCAGACATGATGCTTAAAACCATCAACAAGATTTTCTAGCTTCTCTCCTTAGAGTACTAGCTATATTCAAGGAATGCATTGAAGAACTTCAAAGCTCAAAAAGATGACATAATCATACAATACAAAAAGATAGGGTTGCTTGGTGCCTTCTCCTCACAGAGAGCCCCTCTCTTTCTGGTCACCTGATGAACTACATTAAACTCTGATGTTGTCAAGTAAACTTTGTACAGATTGAATCACTAAGATTTTACAGTTTTTTTATAAGACAACTCATACTGTAATCATTGCTTTATATTACATGCTCTAATTATTAGATCCATCACTAATATTCCAGCTTAGAAGTGATCTTCATTAATATGTTGATATTATTCTAATATAAATAACCCAAGAAATGTGAATTTTATATGTATCATTACATATTATATGCTACAGATGACAAATGGAACACTTATTTCCCAGAATAGTCAGTGATCATACTCAAAATTGATTTTCTCATTTAAAACCAGAAATCTAAATATAAATCTAACACAAGACAATTTTGATGAGAACACATAAAATGTTTTTCTCAGATAAAAACACATATAAATTTTAAAAACTAATTCTACGCACATTGATTTCCAAGTGCAAACCACAAAATAAAAGAAGTCATTGTCAGTTACTAGTGATGATGTATAATGTTGGTTCTTTTCTTTACAAAACAGTGCTTTTCAATCATAGCCAGAAATAAATATGTATGTAAAATTCTCTTAAACTTTCCTGAAGGACATAAGAGAACTGAGTAAAGGAAGACACTATGTTCTGAAAAGGGGACGACTGAATCATAGAGCAGTCAGTACTAACTGAAATGACGTACAAACCCAATAAATTTCCCCTTAGAGCATTCTATTTTGATGGAGCTTGCCAAGATGAATTTCAAATTCACCTGTAGATGTACCAGACCAGAGAACACAAACAAAACATGAAAGGAATATTTTTAAACTGGGGTTTTTTTAATGACAAAATGCTTTTCTGCTTTTCTTCAGGAAATCACCAACCTAGGGGTTTGAATGGAAATTAACAGACATTTGTTGCCACTTAAATTTAATGTTAATTATAAAGGGAGATTTCCACACTTCAACACTTCAGCCATCTCTGTTTGCAACTTTCCCTTTGTGATCACAGAGGGGCCTTCTGTTCTCTGTCACAGCCAGGGATGGAAACGTCTCTGCAGCTTGGCAGTGAGCTGCTCCTGGCCAGTTTTGGGGGAGGAGCCGCATTTTACCAGGCTGCAGCACAGGAAGCTGTATTAAGTATAGTTGTATGCTAGTGACTTGAGAGAGTCCTAGGGTAAAGATGAAAAAAGTAGGGACTACAGTCTTGGAGTGGCACGAAAGGTGTGTGGCTTGGGAAGAACTGCTAGCTTTTGAAGGAATTAATCTTCAGGAATTTGGGCTTCTCCAAAAGCTTCATTAATCCACAGAGAGAGAGGACTGATCAGATTACAGCCTCTAAACTAAGGCTTAGGGCAGCCTGTTTGCCCATGCTAATGTATTGATTTGACATTCCAGGTTTATAATGTTATTCCTATATTGCTTGAAGTTTTAAATATGTATTTATGTAGAACAATAACTGATAAAAGTATTAATATAAAGAGAAATACAGTGATAAGCCATTGATACACAGACTGTTTCACATGTACATGATCATGCAAAAGGAGTCACATATGTAATTGAAGACATTTGCAGATGTATATGCAAAGAGAAAAAATCTGGAAGAAAATAAGTCCCATGTAACTGTTCAGCATTTATGGGTAGTCATGTTAGTACTTAACACAATTTTTACCCTATTTCATTATCACTACAAAAGACTTCTTCATGATTGTTTTTTATAATAATGAAAGAAAAAGCTAAAACATCATGTCCATTTTTTCAGACAAATAAGTATTCAATGCAGACATGCTCCTCTGTGGAAATTTTCTCTTTCTGATGAAACGGGTATCTTAATTGCTGTGTTGAATAAAGCCCTCCATGTGTCCTCATTGCAGTTAATTATTTTGGGCCAAAACCATAATGTGTATCATCTAGGGTTTGGGTTATTGCAGTTGACCAATTTAAAAAGCATTATATAGAATGATAGAGCCATACACTGAAAATTTAAATATGTGGTGAATAAAAATATGCACCTTGACAGATAGTGACTTGAAAATGTCTGGAAAATAATACAAGATAAAGAAAGAAACTTAGAGGAAAGCATAAATGATCTCCTTTAAGAATAAATGCATGTACTAGTTATATGTATGAATGTTATTATAATCTATATAACCAAACCTGAAAACCTATATCTGCCAAACTACTAATTATATTATTTGTGTAGTGAAAGAGACAAGGATAGCATTTCTGTTGTCTGTATTTTAAAGTATTAATTTTATTTTGATATCTTCAGAAAATATTGAGACAAACTCATACATTTTTTAAAAACTCATTTAAGATAACTTACTAAAGTCGTGTAGAAATATGTAGTAAAAGGACCATAGAGATGGCTCAGTAGAATAAGCTCTTGCCTGACAAGTGCAAGGGCTTGAGTTCAATACCCGGTTCTACCAAAAAAAGAAATAAAAAAAGAAAAAACAGTAAAAGAAATACGTAATAAGATGTTCATGCCAAGTTGAGGGTAAATGCTGGAGCTGTTTTGAAATGATATGTACCCATTTATGCATCTAAATAAATTCTAACTGGGTATATTGTATAGAGAACATCCATCATGGTTAGTTATATGGAGCTGTACACTTCTGGCCTCTTTTCAAATATAATAAACTTCAAAATGATTGTTTATCAAAAATATAGTGGCTAAAGACATTATGATGTTATTGTCACATATCAGAAACCCTTACATTTATCAGAGAGTATTGTAGAAGTCTGCAAAGTTTCCTGCAAGCTATGGTGGTTTCCCTCATCCCATAAGAAGGATCAGGTCTCCACTGACGTCTTGCCAGTGGACCAGGACAGACTGCAGTTCTGGTTCTCATCACAAGATGGCTCCTGACAGAAGCCCCTCTTTTCTCCAGTAGGGTAAAGCAATGAAAGCATTTTGTAGTAGTAGAAAGTGAGACATTGTATACAGTGTAGATGAGATTCCATTGAAAAATTTGTGGACCTGAAGAAGAAATAAGGCCCCTGGTGAAGACATGAAGATCTGAACAGCAAAATTAGTCTGACTCAAGATGTCATAAAGCTGTTGATTCTAACTCCAGCTCCTATTTTTTATGAGAAAATAACTTTGGCCTGAAGAAAATAAAGTTATAATGTTCCATATAATATTCTATGTTATAGGTTCCTTGCTATAGTTCAGTGGCATAAGTGCCTGCCTGGCAAGCTCAAGGTCCTGAGATGGACTCCCGGTACAAAAACAAGCATACAAAATATCATATCAGAAGAAAATGCAGGAAAATAAGCATAACACCTGCATCAGGAGTGAGATTTCACCTCAGCCTGTGATTCAGAGTAACACACCTCCTAGAGTTCTGCTATGAATTTTCCTTTACATTTTTTCTGTGTCATTGATTTGATTCCCTTTCTTGCTTTTGTATAGCCTAGGTTAACATCGGAGGTATATGAGACCTGGGCAGTCAGCCTGTGGTGCCAGTTGAGCCCAAGAAAGTTGGTGCAGCCACACAAGTACCCAGCAGGGTGAAGTCTCCTTGAAGGGAGTATCAACTGTGTGGGATTATAGGGCCTGGACTCTACAGTCGAGGTGACAGAGGGTAAGACTTTTCCATTCATGAAACATTTCACACTTTTGGGTTGACATCTTGAAGCATAATATATTTTGCTTCCTGTTTGTGGCTGTAGCATTTTAAATTAACATTTCAGGTTAAAATCGTGTTTGATTGAGAATTCCAGGTACAATCCAGTGTGTGTGTCTCATTCTACAGCTAAAATATTTGTAATTAATAATCACACATTCTTGTTTTGGGAAGTAAAGTAAAACCACTATGCAAAATTCATACAAGAGACCTATTCAGTGGTCTGAGGTTCCAGCCAAAGCCTGACTCTCAGTTCCTTGACAGCTGCTGTATCGAATCCGTGGCCACAGCAGCCGTTCTCAGTCTCTGCCGACTAAGACTGTGCTGTTTTGTACAGCATAGTCATTGTACTGCTGTTTGGATCCAGGCAGTACAGACCCTGCTGTTTTCATCCATCTGCTTGGAGGAACAGCAAAACACTTGAGATAAGAATTACAGAACTTGGGTTCAGGTGACATAGTGCTTTTCATCAAGCTATTCTTGGGTAGGTCACACCAGGAAATTATGAGAACTTATGGGAAATAACTTTAGGGAGTTCTGTCCATTAGCTCAGATGTTTAAGTGCCTGCTTAAGCAAATCACTCAGGCTCAGGATATTGTGGTTCGATCCCCAGATCCTCAAGTCTTGCCAGGCTTGCACTTAAGGCATCCTGAGCCAGCCAAAAACCAATCCTTCTCAACTTGGGACAGTGTTCTAGTTCAGCAAACTAAGCGCTTGTTTAGGTAAGTGCATGGGCCAAGGTTCAATCCCAGGCTCCACATGCTGCACCGGCCTCACCTCCGGGCATGCTGAGGTGGCGATGGAGTCCAGGCATGGTGGCACATGCCTGTAATCCCAGTACTAGGGAGGCAGAAATCAAGAGGATCACTAGGAGTCTAGGCTGTGTAGTGAGACCCTGCGCACAAAAAACGTAAGGATGAGGGCTAGAAATCTAAGGTACTGCAAAGGTTGGAAACCACTCTAGTAGGTATTATATTAGAAGCAGGAAAGTATGGGTGTATCCAGTATCACACACAAATTCCCTGATATCAAAGGAACGTTCCACTTCTGCTGACATGTATAGAGTTCGCTTCTTAATAAACATATTTGTGTTCTTCAGTCTAGAGGTTTATAAATGGTTTTCCTGTAAGTATCCCACATTACATTTGCTGCATTGTTGTCTCTCTGATGCTTCTTTGAGCATTTTTCTTTGCAGTTTGTTTCCTCTGTTTATTATGCCCCACTCCCTTCTTGGGAAAATACTTTGGCTTATACATATATTTCCTTTTCCCTTTTCAGCACTTTCCACTATTGTCCAATTGCAACAGTGTGTTGGAGCATCCTCAGGAAATCGGGGTGGAGTACAGCCGGCCACACAAGCCATAAACTCTTTCTAGTTCTAAGCTGAAGACTTGTAAGACTGCTGCTTTGGTTAGGACCTGATTCTGTGTAGTGTCACAGACAGACAGGCAGACGCACAGACAGCCACCTACCTCAGGTTCTGATAGTGACTTCTCAGCCCACAAATCTAAAGCACAATGGATGCTGAATATGTCTTATGTAATTGGAGAGGCCAGATGTGGCCAGCGAAAGTGTTATCTAGGTCTAAAATTTCATCAGCTGAGGGAGAAAGTGCATTGTACCTAGAAGTTCAGATACTCTCACTAGATGAAAGAGTAAAGGTAGAGAGCACAGGAACAAAGATCCTAAATAGATCAGAAGTTGAAGCCATTGTTTCCTCCATAGCAGTACAGTCAGAGGTCAGTGCTCTACCTAGAGCGGAAACACCTTATGGAAGAGCACTAAAAGAGGCGCTGGATATCCTGAATAAGCAAACAAATTTGAATCAATCAAGCATAACAGATGAAGAAGAGACTGCTGCATACTCTGAAAATGGAGACCAAGACCAGTCTTACTCACCACCTTGTAAAAGATATCGGAAGCATGAAGAAGACTTATCAAAATGTCTTACGGAGAATGAAGACCAAAAGTATTTGTTATTCTCCTCAGAGAGTGATGATTCTCTGCCTCATGGCAAAGCAGAGGTACAGCCAAGTGTTGATGCTATACAAAATGATGTAGAAATAAAGTCACCACAAAGCTTCAGCCATTGCCAGACTTCCTCTTGGCTTTCAGAAGATGACGATAAAAATGAGGACAAGAAACAAATCTCAATGCTGATGGCTAAAAATTCTACAGTGAAAGAGGAGAGTGAGTGGGTTAAAGAAGAAAAGTGTGTTCCATTTTTGTCACTAGATATCCTCAGTGCATCCAACGCTTCTAAAGTGGAAACACAAGACATGAGCCCGAACACTCTGCCTGTTTGCTCTGAAGGTTCTACATTCTCTGAGACTATTGAAGACCCTGAAGAAGGTCCCTCAAATCCAAATCTATGCTTAGATGCCAGCCAGAATCCACCTTGTGTGGAGTCAGAGGTAGATACTGCCACATTCCCTCCAGCTTGCTCAGGGGAAAGTGAGGCTTCATGTAGCGCCCCTAACACTGTCATAGATTATTCACATCTTGTAAATAATGAAAGAAGTCTTCAGAGACTGGAGATTGGGGAATTTGAGGAAGATGCTGAAGCTTCTGATAAGGCACTGCCTCTAAATCGTGCTAGTGCTTGTGCATTAGATGACAGAGAAGAAGATGAAGAACTTCCTCGCTTTCTTTTACATTATGAGCCACGGGCATTTGAAACAGGAATGGTAGTCTGGTTTAAATACAAAAAGTACCCCTTTTGGCCAGCAGTGATAAAAAGCATCAGGCAGAAAGAGAGAAAAGCAAGTGTGGTTTTCGTTGAGGCCAGCATGAGTCCGGAAAAGAAAGGTGTTAGAGTTCTTTTCCGAAGATTAAAGAAATTTGATTGTGAAGAAAAGAAAGACCTAGTGGATAAAGCCAGGGAGCAGTACGGCGAAAGTATTGACTGGTGCATCTCACTGATTTGTGACTACAGGGTTCGAATAGGTTGTGGGTCTTTTTCAGGGTCTTTTCTTGAGTATTATGCTGCAGACATTAGTTATCCAGTGAGGAAAGTAATCCAACACGATACTCTAAGGTATAGATTTCCAAAGCTGCCTAGTGAAGATACTGTGGAACAAATGGTTGTGACTTCCCAGTCCAAGAAAATGTCCTTCCAGAAAATTCTCCCTGACCGCATGAAGGCTGCTCGAGACCGAGCCAACAGAAATCTGGTGGACTTCATTGTGAATGCAAAGGGCACAGAGAGTCATCTTCTGGCCATTCTAAAAGGCACAAAAGAATCCAGATGGCTGAAGTCATTTTTACATCCAAACAGGTGCACACCTTGTATTGAAACCTATTTTGAAGATGAAGATCAAATAGATGAGGTGGTGAACTATTTGCAGGAAATCTACAAGCAAATCGACCAAAAGATGTTAACACTGATAAAAGATGACAAAATTAATTTTATCCTGGAAGTTCTTCTGCCCGAAGCAATTATTTGTTCCATTTCTGCTGTTGATGGATTAGATTATGAGGCAGCTGAAGCAAAGTATCTGAAAGGACCATCTCTAGGCTACAGGGAAAGGGAGTTATTTGATTCGAAAATCATATTTGAAAAGAGACGGAAACCAGTAACTAATGAAGCGCATTAGGCATCTCAAGTTGAAACCTGTTGTGTTTTCACAGATGAAAGCTTTCGTAGATACTAGTTTTAAAGAATCTGTAGCAGTTCTTTCTACCATATTAATATTCCTGACAGTGGGAGCCTTTGGCTAATGCTTCCACCTGCTTTTAATATTGTCTACGACCTGCAGATGGCACTATATTTTTATTTTCTTGTGCTTCTTCAGACACAATTTTGTTACAATGTTTCAGCAGGTTTCCTTGATCGTACCTTTCTACATAGCAGAATTCCTAAATAATGTTTATTAAAGGAGAGTACTATTTTATTTGACGGTATTTTTGTGTCTGTGCTATATAGCTGAATATGGTGTGCACAGTTATTTTAATACCGCAGTTGCACTTATAATGCATTTTAAGTGAGATAGTTTGAAAAGAAGTCCAAAAGAGACAGCACCTATATATTTTTGCTTACTTTTTATAAAACTAGTTTTCTTGTAAGGTAGTGGACTTATCTTTCTTGCTATGCCTATTTATTTTTGCAAAAAGTTTATCCAAGACATAGAACCAAAGATAGGTAAGCTTTACTATACATTATAACTAAATGTAATTGCCTTTTCAATAACCTTAAATTTCAAAAGCAAAGTAAGTTGATTACCTTCATGTAGTCTATACTTATGTGAATAAGATCTCAGCATGCAAAGAGTAATTTTGGCAGTTTTCACCAAAATTGTTTATTCTGTATTGCCCTGAAATTGCATTTTGGGGGAGCATTTATTCTCTCAGGGCTAAGTACTTTCTTAAAACAGGATTCTTTCTGCTATCTTCATAATTACCAATGAGTATATCTTAATGTAACTGTCTGACCAAATAGAGAAGGCAGTGACAGTCATATTACTGGTAGGCTGTCCAGTCTATAGGTGTGGCTCACTGCTGAAGAGCCTGTCCAGTTTTATATAGACTATAGAAAATACAAGCAGCATGGTGAGACTCATCTCGTTATATGTAGTCTTATGTCTCAAATGAAGGATGCTTTACTGTGGGGGTTATGTGTAGTATATTTTCAGTTCTCAGTCTTGTAAATTACAACTGATAAGTCATTCCAAACTACTAGAAAGGGTAAAGGACCAGTATCTGGGAATACGGACATTTGTCACTGAAGAAGATCTCTATTGTTTAAATATGACAATTATTCCTATGTAGTTAAATGTGCAGAATTAAAAGCTAACACCAATGACTTGTTTACTGTAACACGAAATGCAACTTTTGTGAGACTAAACCTTAAAAAAGGTATTTTTAAACATGATGTGAACAGAAGTGCTGAAGGCTAAACAAGAAGCTGTCTGCATTTTACTTCTCAGAATGAAACACCTGTCACTCCTGGGCTCTTGGTATACATCTACAAAGCAGTTTGTTCATGTAAAATGTGCAGATTTTACTATCTTGAATTATAATAAAGACATTATATACTTTACCTTGGATTTCATATTGTAGCTGCTATTATATTCATGCTTGTTATAGGTCACCATTCTAAATAAATATCCACTTTCATGGTTATGTTTAATTCTGTGTTTGTTAAAAAAGGCTTCCCAATTTTATGAGCTGAAGACCACACCCAACATTCTCTAAATCCTGCGTATGAAAAATAAGTCTCCTTGGGCATGTAGCCTATAACCAGTGCTAGGGAATCCATGCCACACGTGTCACAGTGGGCTGTTTCTATCATTGGAAAATCTGAAAGGCAAGCCACATGTCTCTCACATGGTTCTGGCAAATATTTGACAGCAGACCATAATGATAGAGACCAGGAACTTTGTTCCCTGGTAAAACATGCTTTATTTTTAGCCCGGTGTTCCTCTGACTCCAGTATATGATACACCTACAGAAATTCTGATGAGCTCAATATTTTGGCTCTAATATTACTTCATTTGCTCACTGAAGAAGAAACACCTGTGAAAACAGAAGTCAGGTGAGCAGGTTACAGGTGGTTTAATGTTCTGTACTGTTGAGAGAATGGAGGTCAACTCAGCAAGGAGATACAGGTATAAATCATGGGATCCAACTACAGTATAATATCTAAGATGAATATATTGTTCTGTAAGAGAAATACTAAACTTGTAGGCTGACAGTTTGCGTTTGAAAGGCAGAGGCCAAGGTTGCCTCTATATTCTGACATTTTTCACCATCTACAAATTAGAGCAAAAAGGGCAAGATGCAGAATTAAAACAGGTGTAGAATAGTTTATCTTCAGAAGGAACTAATGACATGTACTAATATCACCAGCATAGCATAGGATAACATTTTGGAACGTACTTTTCGTTTTTCAGATGTCAAAGTAGAAAGAAGAGAGCACAGAACATAGGTGAACATAAGTGAGTGCTTAATATTCCAAGAGCAAACACTTGTGGCTTGGGGTTCAATGACCTGGTAATGTGCTGCTATCGAGGCTTTCTCTCCTGTCATCTCCTCCCTCTTTCTCTCATTCTCTCGCTAGTTTTCTGCTTTGCAGTACCATTTCTTCTCTAAATGAAGGACTCAGGACCCTGTACATGCATGATAGGTAGCTATACCACAAAACTACACCCTTCATCTTTTTTATTTTATTCTATGATTTTGAGACAAGGTCTCATGAAGTTGCTTAGCCTGATGTTAAACTTGTGATCCTCCTGCCTCAGCCTCATATTTAACTACAATTATATGCCTGATCTCCTTTTAAAAGTATACTATTATTTGAGCAGTGCTAACTTAACAATATTTTGAGGTTTCTGAGGTCAAAAGAATTTGTGTTAGAAATGATTTACTATAGGAGACAAGAGAACCTATCTGGTGAACTCTTTTCCCTAGGAGGCAGAAAGAAATTACAATGCTAACAAATGTTTCATGAGAAAAATCAGTGACATTTATAGGGAGCTCAATGTTGTTTTCCTCTAAAACCCATTGTTGGAAGTAAATTACATTGCAGTAGGGATAACATTCCAGAATGTTAACCCTCGTGTGGCAACACAAAACCCTAGGAGCAAACAAAGTATCATGTCAAGAAAGCTTGGATACAAGTGGAGCTGCCCATGACCAAGCATCTGAGGTGAATAATAGCTCCTCAAGTCTGCAGTAAAATATGGCCTCCAAGAAGAATAGAATGCAAAAAATGCGAAAGAAACAAAATGGAAAAAGTAAAAAAGTTGAGGAAGCAGAACTTAAAGAGTTCGTGATAGAAAAGTACTGCACTTACGTGTAGTCAATGGGGAGGTGGCATATTTTCTGAAGTGGAAGGGATTCACAGATGCTGACAATACATGGGAACCTGAAGAAAATTTAGATTGCCTAGGGGTAATTGAAACATTTCTTAATTCACAAAAATCTGGCAAAAAAAAAAGATGGTATAAAAAGAAAATGTTTATCTGACAGTGAATTTGATGAGAGCAAGGCAAAGAAAAAAAGAGATGCTACTGAACTAGGGGTTTTGCTAGAGGTCTTGATCCTGCACAAATAATTGATGACACAGATAGTAGCAGAGAAGTGATATTTCTCATGAAATGGGAAGATTCAGATGAGGCTGACTTTGTTGCCGACAAAAGAGACAAATATAAAATGTCCTCAAATGATAATTGCTTTTT